TCTCTCTCTCTCTCTCTCTCTCTCTCTCTCTCTCTCTCTCTCTCTCTCTCTTTCTCTGTATGTGTGTGTGTTCACATGTACATGTAGGTGCCCTCGCCCTCGGAGGCCAGAGGAGGGTAAGGGATTTCCTGGAGCTAGAGTTACAGGCAGTTGTGAGCCACCTGAGGTAGATACTGTGGCCCTGTCTCCAGGTCCTCTGGAAAGCGGGAGTACTCTTAATTGCTGAGCCGTATCTGCACACACTCTTTGTTCCTTTTCCCTGCTTTTACCTTACAAACAGGTTCCCACCATTTATTTTTACTTTTTAATTTACATGTGAACCCAGGGCCTTGCACATACTAAGTAAGCACACTAAACTGCATGTCCGGCCCTCGTTTTCCATTTCTGATTACATTTTGTCTGTATATTATATCTACAATAATCATCTAGAAAACAAAACACAGGTTATTATCCATTTTATAGGAAGGAGTCATACTTCCTCACTCTCTTCCAAATATGAGTTGCATTTTTCTTTCAAAGGTTTATTGTTATTATTTTAAGTCATGTGTAGCTGTGTGTGTCTGCATGTGGGTAAGTGCACATGAGTGCAGGTGCCCTTGGAGGCCAGAGGCATTGGCTATTCTGAAGCTGGAGTGACATATGGCTGTAAGTCTCTTGACATGTGTGCTGGGAGCCAAACTTGGGTCCTCTGAAAGAACAGTAAGTGCTCCTAACTAGAGACACCTCTCCGGCCCTGTGCGCTGCATTTTTCTGCCGCTGGAATTCCCTCAGCACAAACCCATTTCAAAAACCCTCGTCGGTCTTCCTCAAGAGTTACATAAGAGTCTACTCCCTAAAAACGTTTGTGTACCAGTTGTACAAAAAAGTTCTCTTTTTAAAAAGGTATTTTCTATGTCTGACAAATCTTTTTTAAAGATGTATTTATTTATTTTATGTCTATGAATGCTCTATCTGCATGTACAACTTTATGCCAGAAGAGGGCATCAGATCCCACTACAGATGGTTGTGAGCCACCATGTGGGTGCTGGGAATTGAACCCAGGTCCTCTGGAAGAGCAGCCAGTGCTCCTAACAACTGAGCCATCTCTCCAGCCCCTCTGACAAACTTTTTAACATTTTACTTATTTAGTGTGTGTGTGAGAGAGAGAGAGAAAGAGAGAGAGAGAGACAGACAGACAGACAGACAGAGAGACAGACAGAGACAGACAAAACACGCAGGATGTGTGGAGGTCTGAACGGTTTTGCAGTCAGTTCTTACATAACCTCGGTGAGACTGAGTCTGTCTGACTGTTTCTGTCTCCATGCTTTGTAGCCCAGTTCACCAGCCCATGAGTTTCCAGGAAGTTCTCCTGCTCTGCCTCCCGGATGACCTTCAGAGTGCTGGGATCACTGATGGGCACCACTCTGTTAGGTTTCTGTGTGGGGTCAGAGGGTAGACCGTCCTGAGTCTTCACAAGCTGAGTCTTCAGACCTCAGCTCAGGCCGCCATGCTTTCCAGGCCAGCACTTGTACCCATGGAGCCATCGTCCAGCTCTCTCCTCTTTGGACCTCAGAGTATTTAGCACGTCTTATTCTAAATTCACTGGATAGCCACTTGCCATCTGTCCGCCATGTGGGAGTGGGATCCTTTGAGGGCCAGCTCACTGCCAGGAGTAAAATAATGAAATCTCTTCCAGCACGACAGTAACAATTACAAAGGTCTGCTAAGCAGCTTTCTTCAGTCTCTGTGGTGAGTCTGTCCTTCTGTCACTGACTTAAGGTCTGAGCACTTCACATTAAGTCACTTAGGCCTCATAACCAAATGCAGTAGTTATGCTAACAGGTAAGCAATGATCAGATCACAAGGCCCAGTTTATTAAATTGCTCAATTCCATCCTTTAGAAGGTGGGACCAGGGGTATAGCTCAGCAATGGTCTTAGATAGGGTTTCTATTGCTGTGGCAACCAAAAGAAACTTGGGAAGGAAAGGGCATATTCCAGCTTACACGCCATTTTGAGGGCAGTCAGGGCAGGAACTGAAATAGGGCAGGACCTGGAGGCAGGAGCTGATTCAGAGGCCATGGAAGGGTGCTGCTTACTGGCCTGCTCCTCATGACTTGTTCAGCCTGCTTTCTTATAGAACCCAGGACCACAGCCCAGGGTGAGCTCAGCCGTGCTACCCTCCACCCCCAACCACTTGTCAATCAAGAAAATAAACCATACACTTGTTCACAGGCCATTGTGGTGGGGGCATTTTCTCAGGTGCGGTTCCCTCTTCCAGAATGACTCTAGCTTGTATTAGTTGACATGAAAACTAGTCAGCGCAGCAGTAGAGGGTTTGCCCAGAGAGCAAGGGAGGGAAGTGTGTGTGTGTGTGGGGGGGGGGTGTCCAGGGAAGGGAGAGGAAGGGAGAACACTAGAATTTAAAGGACACCAAGCTGATTTCAGAAGACATTTGTCACCACTGAATATCACATAATTTCTTGTCTCTATCTTTGTCCTAAATCAACTCCTAGTATAGCATCTGATATATGGAAGGGCCTAGTTATTGTGGAACTGAATGGGAAGCTGAGATCCAAAGAACTGAACTTTCCTAAAATCATAGGTTTTGCTGGGATGTAAAGTAGAGAACTTTGGACTGAAAACTGGCTTGTTTTCTTAGGAGAAAGAGAAACAAGTAGCTGTAAACAAACAACAGGGCTATGGGGCGGGGGGCAGCGGGGCCTGGGGTGCAGATGTCAAATACGCTCTCGGAAAATGCCCATCGTAGGAAGTTAGGAATGCACACTGTGCAAAGTGAAACAGAAAGCAGGCCGGGTCTCGATTCTTGGCAGGATTTTGCTTTTCCTGATTGCTTGAATAGAAAGTTCTTGGGTGGGAGCCTGGAAGTCCCCCGCAAACCCTTTCTGAATCTTACTCTATTCTGTCTTTTTAAATGTCTTTTTTATTGAGGCAGGTTCTCACGTACCCTATTCCATATCTCCTGACAGGACTCCACCATGGACAAGACAATGGATGAGCCCCCCATATCAGCTGTGTTGCTGGAACACTGCAGTTTCTCTCAGGTCGTGTTTAACAGTGTGGAGAAGTTCTATGTTCCTGGAGGAGATGTCACATGCTACTACACCTTCACCCAGCAGTTCATCCCTCGTCGCAAGGACTGGATTGGCATCTTTAAAGTGAGTGTGAATACCAAGGGATTAGGAACTAGTGGTGGGTCTTAGTTACCTTGATAGTATGTGTGCCCAATCAGAAGTTCCAAACTACAATTCCTAGTGTGCCCTCATCACACACAGTGTGTATGAGCCTCAGTTTTAAATTCCAGCGTGATGCACATCTTTAATCCCAGGACTCAGGAAGCAGAGGCAGGAGGATCTCTGTGCTTGAGGCCAGCCAGGGCTACACAGTGAGAGCCCATCTCAAACAAACAAAAAACAAATTTATTTTCAGTCCTAAACTAAAAGATAAAAAAAAAAATCTCACAGTCCCCAAGTTTTATTATGTGTTCAATGATCAAATCTAAATGCTTTACAAATTATCCTATTTTGAGAGCTAGAGAGATGGCTCAGTGGTTAAGAGCACTCACTGCTCTTCCAGAGGACCCAGATTCAGTTCCCAGCATGCACATGGCAGCTCACAACCATCTGTAAATCCAGTTCCAGAAAATCTGATGCCCTCTTCTGACACCAGGGACACATTTCATACAAAGACGTATGTGCCCACAAAACACTTAACCACATAAAATTAACAAATTAATAAACAAATTTTAAAAAATCGTAATATATATATATATTATCCTATTTTGAAATATGTACATATTGTTTGACTAAGATGGATGACCCCTTATATATTTTTATGGCTTTTTTTATTTGGAGAGTTTGAGACAGGGTCTCATGTCCAAGGCTAGCCTCAAACTCTTTGTATAGCCAAGGATGGCCTTGAACTCCTGATCTTCCTGCTTCTATCACAGTGCTGAGATTTGTACCTGGTTAATTTCAGTGACTTTAATTTTTCTTCCTTCCTTAATACAGTGTTGAATTTGTTTTACTGTGAATATCATAAATCCGGGAAGGATGTTGAGAAGTGGCTGGGGTGACATCCTGCATCCCAAAAGTCTTTTCCTGATAAGTGGGAGCCCTCCCTCGGTGCCCTCAGTAGCATCTAATCATCCTGTCAGTTCAAGGACAGAAACTGCTTTGAAATTAGATTCAACTTCTTCTCTAGTTCGTTCTCCTTCCCATCTCTGCCTTCCTCCTCTCTTCCCTTTCCCTTCCCTTCCTGATGCTCTCCCTCCCCGCCCCTCATCCTGTCCCTTCTCTCCTTTCCTCCCTCCCAGCACACACACCCCACCAAACTGTCCAATCGCCCTGTTTACAGAGACAAGAGATAAAGGTCAGACCTAAGTAGTTCCCATCGCTGGCTCTGATCTCTGATTGGTTGACACTTCAGTATGCCATGTGCACACTTGCCAGTGCTGTGCCGCCCCAAACCAGACGCCGTCCTTTACTGCCTTAATTGTTTGGAGGACCCAGCTTATAGCTGAGGCTTTGGTGTCCAGGTACGGGCAGAAGATGACCTTCAGGACACTGGCAGCCTCTGGGGCGATGAGTCATCAGACTACTATGTGCTGACACAGAGCTGGTGCCCAGAGTGTTTTCATCCTGGAGAGGAGGCCTTAGCTGCTTTCTTCTATCCTGTGTAGCCAAGTCTAGAGATCAGTGCTAAGTTTAGCTTATTATTTGTTTTTATTATTGCTACTGTGTGGTGTGTGTCTATGATGAGCATGTATGGAGGTCAGAGGACAACCCTGTGAAGTTGGTTCTCCCTTCTACTTTTATGAGGGTTCCAAGTATGGAACGCAGGTCATCTAGCTCTCCCAGCTAGGTTTTTACCTGCTGAGCCATCTCCCCAGTCCAAGTTTATCTTAAAGCAAAAACAAAAGCTTAGGGATTTGAGAAATGGCTTAGTAGCAAGTTCAAGGCCAGCCTGGGTTACCAACCCTACCCCCCCCCCAAAAAAAAAAGAGTAAATAAATACATAAGCAAATTTCAAATTATATTCAGGTTGGAACATGACAAGTCTGTATTAGACATCATAGAGGACAAACTTGTAAAGAGAACATAACTACTTTCTAATAGGTTTTCTGCCCCACCTCCCACCCCACCCCCACCCCACCCCCACCCCCGCCCCCATAAGTTTCTCTGCTGACACAGTAAGCCAGTTCAAAGCTGAAATAAAAGTGTAACAACAACAGGTATACTGAGCAAAGTTAACTCCCCGGCGGGCTCTCTGGTCACCAACCTGAGCCAGGGCCGGGAGGTTTTATGGACTGTAGGCAGTGGGTGATGATGTGTGTGTCTGCCACAGCTGGGTTTGTGCTGAGTGCTCCGGTGGGGGCCTGGGCGGCTGCATCAGGAGAGGAAGCTGCGGAGCCACCAAGAACGCAGAACTGGGCTTGGCGCCTTTCCTTTGTTCAGACTCTGAGCAGGCCGGGTTTGGAGAGAGAGAGAGAGAGAGAGAGAGAGAGAGAGAGAG